AGTGCTAGAATCACTGCCTCAGCTCCACCTAAGATCATTACCCATTAGGTTCTCATTAGGAACATGCAGCCTAGATCCCTCTTGTGTGCACTTCACAGTAGCATTCACACTCCTATGAGAATCTAGTGCTGTCACTGACCTGACAAGAGGCAGAGCTCAGGCAGTAATGTAAGTGGTGGGGAATAGCTATAAATGCAGATGAAGTTTTGCTTCCTAGCCTGCCAATCACTTCCTGCTATGTGGCTTGGTTCCTTACAGACCATGGACCAGTGTTCTGGTCAATGGCCCAGGGGTTAGGGACCCCTGCAGTATAGGATACTGTAGCTCAACTGCATGAATTATACTAAACATGTTATATTGCCACTACTAATAGTAATAAAATCACTGTCTTGATTAATATTTGCTAACTCCAGCAACTCTAGCTGGGTTCAAACTGGAAAGTATATTCTTTATCTAATGAGGGTAGTGGCTATTGTAGAAACTATTATGAAAATATAGCTCCAGTGTTAACTGATTATTGAAATTATTATGATAAACTATAAATGTGAAACTGTTAAGAATCTTCTTAATTTTTGAAAGTTGTAAACTGATTTGGAAAGATTTTTATTTTTTATTTTTTTATTTTTATTTTTTTGGTTTTTCTCCAGTACCAGGAACCGAACTCACGACCTTGCGCTTGCCAGGCAAGCGCTTTTGCCACTGAGCTAAATCCCCAGCCCTTGGAAAGATTTTTAAACTATATGAGACATGAAGGTGGGGAGAAAATCATTTCTGGATTGTGATGGCGTTTACGGGAGCTTCAAGATAGCCCACATTGTTCTCACCTGAATGAAGAAACATTTGAGCCACCCTGATTCTAGGCAGATTAGGATCAAAATATTGGCTTTGACATCAATATGGTAACAATAAAAGATCTGACTTAATTGTACAAGAAATTGGGTTGCTAGTATGTCCTGTATTGAAACTGAACTCTTCTCCCCCAATCCAGCCCTTTACCCCAGCAAAACAAAAGTTAGCCTCCAGCCAACAGAACAAAGTAGATATTCCTTGTTTGGAGAAAGGGAAAGAGAGAAAGAGAGAGAGAGAGAGAGAGCATGCATGTGAGAGAGATACGGGGGAGTTAATCTAAGTTCCTAGACTTCTATTTTCTTTATTAGACAGAAATTTTTTAAATGCTGCCTAGAGATATGCAAATGTAACCTACTCATACATTACCTGATTTAGTATCACCAGTTACATAATCATTAATTGACTTTTCTCCTCCTGCTACTGACTAACTCTTCAGACAGCTCTGTATTATGGGAGGGCAAAGGAAGTGTAGGAGCAGTCAGGGCTATTAGTCCTGGGAAGTGCCTCCACGTGGAATCCTGAGCTAGATAATTAGTGACTCCCCCCGCCGCCCAATTGGATTTGGTCCATGAGTCTGCAGTTGTGTTCACTTGTCTCAGCTCCTGACTTCCAATGTTTATAATTCAGCGGAGGGATTAATATAAGGCATTAAATACACTGACGTGCTACCAGCACTTTGGTGAACTACTCAATATAGCACTAAGGTCCACAGCAGAGAATTCTACTAGGGGTAAGGTTGGGGGCATAAATGAGGACTTTCCTACCCTGATGTCTCAACTTCTGCTGAGGCCTCAAGACATTAAGTGGTCACCAGTCCAAACACGGGCATCTGAAATGGATAGACATTTCTCAGATGAAGAAGTACAAACAGCAAATAAGTATATGAAAAAATGTTCAACATCACCCGTCATTCGAGAAATGCAAAGTAAAAGAAGACCAAGATCCCGTGTCGCTCCAGTAAGAATGGCCATCATCAGTGAATGAACCAATAACAAATACTTTGTTATTAGGAAAAGGAACACTTGGATTGTTGGTGGGAGTCTGAACTGGTTCAACCACTATGAAAATCAGAATGGAGATTCTGCAAAAAACTAAAACTAAGCATTCTATATGACCCAGCTGTGCTCTTTGTAGGTATCTTCCCAAAAGAGTTAAAAGCATCGCACTACAGTGATATATGCACACCCATGTTTACAGCAGCACAATTTATAATAGCAAAATCTTGGAAACAGCCCATATGCTCATCAACAGATGAGTGGATAAAGAAAATGTAGTATTTATATACAATGGAATACTACTCTGCCATAAAGAAGGATAGACAAGTCATTTTTAGGTAGATGGATGCACCTCAAAACCACAATTTTAAATGAAATAAATCAGATACACAAGTTTAAATATCACATTGTTCCTCTTGTCTGAGAAACACAAGAGGCATGTCTTAACTACTTTTCTCTCATCGCTGAGACAAAATGCCTGATGCCCAAAATTAAGGAAGGAAAGGTTTATTTAGCTCAGTTTGTGGAGGTTTCAGCCCATATTCATCTGGCTCCAAGGTAGAGTGGCACATGGCAGAGGGCAATAGTTCATGGAGGTGCAAGACAGCAAAAGCAACAGGAGCAAAAAGGGAGGAGCAGCAGAGAGCAGGCCTCTTTCCCTCCCTTATATTGTATGCAGACTACCAGCCCCAGGGCGGGTGCAGCACTCATGCCCATAATCCCAGCATTGGATTATGAATCAGTAGCAAATTCTAGAACCCACCCCCATGACTGTGTGAGGCTGTGGGGGGGGGGACATCTAGATGCAACCATAACAGGGTGATTGAGCAAAGTGGAGGATAGACATTAGGAAGTAGGAAGAACTGTTCAAATGGGAAGGGGAACGAGGGGGACGGATGTGGATGGGAAGGGAGAGAAAAAGGGTTACAGAAGGAGAAAAACAATGGCAACAAAGCTTATGTACGTGGGGAGAGGAAGAAGGGTTCAAGGGAGGGGAGGGGAATAGGAAAAAAGCATTAAGATATATTACATACAGATACAAATTCCCTATGATGAATGCAATCATTATGTATGGCAAATATGTATAATAAAAATAAGTAATGAAAAATAAACAAACAGTCGGATGCTTCTGCAGTTCTCACGGGAAGGGCTGAAGCACCGGTACCGGTCCGGGACTTTTGAGCTGGGAGCAGCAAACCAGTTGCTTCCTGTGGTGGGAGTAGGGGGAGAGAAGCTTTAATGTAGAGTGACTTTTAAAAGTATGACTATTCCTCAGAAATGGATCTTTTAAAATTGCCGGAATGAAACTATTTTGCAGTCAGAGGTGACTGGAAGACATCTGTCAGCAAAAGCACAGAGAGACACAGGGCTTCTCCCCTACCGCTAGCATCCCGCTGAGATTTCATCCGGAGACGGGGCAGAAGTAGCCCTTTAGGAGAGTTTGATTGGGCAGAAGAAGAAAATAATTAAAGTGTTTTTAAATTGCACCCTGTGAACGCTGCCTTCTCATTAACTGAAAATGTTACCTATGTTTTTAGTTGGCGTCACTGAAATAAACCATCTCACATGCGTTTGCATTACAACTTTGGGCCCAATTTGCTCAAGACCACAGATGTGTTTGCAAGGGATCTTCTCGGCTCTGGCCTCCGTCCTTGCTCCTTTCTTCCTAAGACTGGCCGTGTTCTTGGCGACAAGGTCCTGCAGGAGGCGCAGCCCTGTACTCCCGGCGCACCCTTGAAGGGGACAGCATCGGTCCCCACAGCCACGAACAGAAGTCCACAGCTGCCTGCTGGTAGAATGGCGGTAAAGACATCCCTCTAACCAGGGAAATGTTCCGTGTGGGTTGACTTAGGTCTGTACTCATAAACCCGTCAGTGGAACATAATGTAACTACACAGAATCCTCCGCAGACACTACAGAAAAGGCGAAACCAACCACATACATAGCTGCTGCTTAATAACATAGAAATAGGAGGAAAAAACAGAAACAAAACTTTTGTAAATAAAGGGGAAGAGGAGTTGAAGGGAGGGGAGGGAATGGGAAAAAAGAAGTAGCAAGATAGATCGTGTACAGGTGCAAACTTCCTATGATGAATATTATCACCATGTATATCTAGAATGTGTCAATAAAATAGGAATTAAAAAGCCCCAAATAAATTGCATAGGCGTCAGTAAGCAGGGAGAGAATGTACCAGGGATCAAGACAGACGTGCGCTCTGAGGTGACGTCTGTAAAGAGGACCAGGGCTTGGACTGAGTGGGGCCAGGGTGCGGAGTGTGCTGTGGAACACGTCGGGACCCTGCAGATGGAAATTCTGCCGGGAGAATTCCTTTCCTTAGGTCCAGAGAACGTGGGAAACGACACCAAGGTACCCTCACCCAAGGGTCCGCGTGATAGGAGCTGGGACCCTTGGTGAAGGGAAATCGCCTCCTCCCTGCAGCCTGGCTAGGAGGGGCCTGGGTAAATAATGTCCCAACTTGCCTCCTCTCTGTCAAAACTGGCGGCTTTCACTTGCTAAACTAAAAACGTGAAGGGGAGTCCCCCAGAGCAATCGCCACAGATCAGTATCGTGGATCCAAGAAAAGAATGAGAAAGAAGTGGAAGTTAGACTCCCAGGAACAATCAGAAAATACTCGCAGAGAAGGGCGGACAAACATTCGGAAGAACTGGGAACGATCAGAACTCAGCCTGTGGCAGGTGGAGCGCCACGGAAAGGTTGACGGTTAGGAGCACTTCTGTCCTCTAGAGGGCGCGCGAGGATTGCTCGCCTTCTACTCTCTTCCCAAGTAGGAGAAAAGGGACGCTGAGCGAAACGGACTCAAGAGAGAGCCCTTGGCTAGCGGACAGGGCTAGGAGCAAAGCGGTTGCCCCCGGAAGGGGAACTCTACCCTCTGAGCTTAGAGTGCCCACACTTGGATTGATCTCTAATAATAAAGTAAACAAAGCTAATACTTAGTGTTTACCACGTGCTCATTCCTGGCCCAGAGCAGCTCTTTGAGCATCATTAGGTTTTAGAGACTGACAGAGTTTGGATTTGAACCCACTTGCACAGTCTCTGCTCCATTTCGCTCCCGCTTTGCCGGTTTAGTCAGCAGGGTCAAAGGAACCTAAGAAAACCAGGGCAGGGCCCATAGACAAGCAGACCAGGGGATGGGGCCGGCAGCGCTTGTCCTCGCTTCACGATCTTCAGCACATGCATTCCATGCCCGGACACTCAGTACCTGCCAGGCTCTGATCTGCGACCAAGGACACCCAGGTGAACAAAGCGTGCGGCACCACGGTGCAGGAGGAGCCCCGCTGCGCAGCTTTGAGTGCCGGGTCTGCTATGTACTATCTGTGGGGCCCAGGAAATTTCGCTTAAGTCATTTTAACTGCCTGTTTCCTTCGTGCAAAAATAGATAAGGAGAAGTTGCAAAGCCCTTAGAACAACGCCTGGAAGGTCGTTCGTGTCACGGAGCTGTGTGCTTTGCTGCTCACCACACACCGTCAACCTGTGGAGCTGCTTGAGGGGCGAGAGAGACCCAGAGGAACAAGATCAGTTCCCGGCTAAGTGCAAGGGAGCGCAGCAGGTCACCCACCCTTCGACTTCAGCAAGGCCCAGGGCTGTGAGAGCACAGGGACTTCCGGAGGCTGCACTTGGACCAGCCCAGCTTTAGAGTTTGGGCTCCAAGCTCTAATCCAGGGGTGAGAGTTTTTTTGCCTGGGGTTCCAACTCTGAGCGGTTGATGCTGGCTGCCTGAACCATTGTGTTAAGAGAGATTCTCAGACTGAGAGCAGAGTGAGCAGGAAAGAATGCCGGCAGGGGTAGGTGCTGCCTGCCAGATTGAGGAGCAGAAGGCAGGAACATGGGTCTAGACCAGGGTTCTTTTACCTGGGATGTCCCTACTGCAGCAGGGGCTGGGCAGGACCCAGAGGTCCCGAGTACACCCATAGGTTAAGGCGACCACCTCTCCCCGTCTTCCCAGGACTGTCCTAGTTGCAGCACTGCAAGCCCAAAGTCCTGGGGAAACCCCTAGATTTGCGCATCCCAGCTTCATAGATTTTCTTCTGGCGGACAACAGTTTAAAAACATAAAACAAAATAACCGTGAGCTCTTACCAGTAGTGGTCATTCTTTCTTTCTCGGCCAATTTCAGCCTGTGGAAATGCATCTCAGTCAGGCCTAAGGTAACGTGCCAGCCTTTATAGCCTCAGAATTTCCCCCACTTCACATAGCTGACCTCTGTCTCCTTTGTGTCTCCTTTCTCGGCTATTTTCCCTAGCAGGAAACAGATGGCACCCTAAAAAAGGGCTTAGCTGAAATGAATTGCACATGGGGATTATTTACAGAGGTGTAGGCAGGGTTAATGGAACCAACAAGAGCTGAGGGTACACCCAGGGATTAGTCCTTACCACTGGAGGTCTGCAGGGACAGGGAGGACAGGCTGTTCCCAGCAGTGAGAAAGTGGGAAGTGTGTAAGAGAGGCCACCGTGCTGCACCCTCTGTCCGAACTGCGGCGGCACCCGGAGAAGGAAAAAGGAAATCATCAAAATCCTTCCCGTGCTCTCCCCCTGCCCTCTGGCCTCTGGTGGAGGGCAAGAGAAAGCAAATGCAACAGTGGTTTCGGAGGCTCAGCCTCTAGACCACAGAGCGTGACAGGAAAGGGCAGGGTACAGTTCTAAGAATAACCATCAGGCCACCTTGTTGTCCCTTGGCTTCCATCCTGGTCCCTCCATTAACTAAAGAAGCTCGGGTTCCTGACCCAGGGAAAATGCAGCTATCATATAATCCAGAAGTCACAGAGTCCCGTGATATTCTTTCCTGGAACCTAAACTGTACCACTCATTACTTGCAAGGCAGCAGAGAAAGGAACAGTTAGAACAAAATAAGGAGGCACATTCGAGCAGATCTCATCTGATCGGGACACCCTTTTTCCACCAGTCATTCCAGCACTCCGGGCACTGAGCTGGCTCCTTGAACGTGAAGGCGGTGTGCTTACTCCCTGAGCTGCACCCAGCCTTCACTCCCACAGGCTCCAGGTCCTGCGTGGCCCTGCCCTTGATGAGTAGTTGCTGTTTCCCAGAGAGCGTTGCTACTGGACGTGTGAGTCCAGTGAATCTGATGGGCTCCAGGCGTAGGGCTGGTCTCATTTTGTAGCAATAATTCGAATGCCTCCCCGCAAATTAAAATCAATCACTCGGGGCCATACAGACACCCATGTCTCTGCCCTGTATGATCACGTATGGAAATACTGGCAGGAGCATAGACAGGAAAAGGAAAATTTGCTCCAGAATATGCAATTATTCCCACGAAGACAAATTCCTGCCCGTTCCATAAAGAAGCAGCCTAATGTAATCAGCCTGCCTGGCTAATGCCCCTAGGAAATGGTGACAAATAAGAGCTCAGCGTTGGCTCCTGTTCTGGAAATCGGGATGCTCAGCGGTGGCAGCGCTAGATCAGTGGTGGCGAGAGGAAGTCCACATTCTCGCTGTACTACGTTGGCTCCATTCCGCTTCCCGGACCTCTGGCCAGGAACCTGTGTCCAAGTGTAGACATACCTCATCTTAGGTCTATTCGTGCTGCTGTAACAAAATTCTACAAGTGAGGCGGCTGACAAACAACAGACGTTTCTTGCTCACAGCTTTGGAGTCTGGGCGGTCTAAGATCAAGATGACCCCATATTCTGCATCAACTGTAGGCCCAGTTGCTGGTTGGCAATGGCACTTTCTGTGTCCCCACATAGAAGGAAAGATGAACTCTCTAGCACCTCTTTTACAAGGTGCTAATCCTATTTGTGAGGGTCGTGCCTCTTCCCACCCCCAGCAGCCCCTCTCCTAGTGCCATCCCACTGATGATTAGGTTTCCACAGACGACTTCTGAGGGGAGTAGAAATACTCAGACCATGGCAGCTAGGGAAGGAGCCTCGCTGACAACCAAGGGATAGGTAACCCAGGCCACCTCCTTACACAGCCTTCTGTAGAGTAGATGTCCCGGGGGAAGGTTTAGTGTGGGACTGTTCAGATAGCCTCAGGGATTGTAGGCTTTCTTAGAGGTCCACCATATAACTTCCATTCTTGGTGCCAATCTTTCAAGTCTGCGAGAGGTTGACCAACCCATTTTCCACTACCTAGGAATTTCATGAAACCTCAGGTTAGCTCTGATTTTAAGCTAAGTGGCCCACTGGATGGACTGCCTAAAGCTCTGTCTACTGGGAGATTTCCCTCAGACTTGCAGGGCTACCCTATGTGGATACATCCTGAAACCAGCCAAAGCCCCTTTCTTTCTCGTTAAATGGTCATAGGAAATTCCCCATGACATCAAAAGCATAGTTTGAGGGGAAGGCGGGAAGCAGTAAGAAGATCTGAGTCATCTGCTTATGCAGAAAAGTGCTGAAAATAGACCAGGAGAGGTGAGGGGATAGAGAAGAACAGCTCACTTGCATATGTGCAGTTCTTTACCCTTCAGCTAAAATAAAATGAATCTTCAGCAAGCTTCTGCTTACTTTGCATGAGAGAAATCCTAATAAATATAAAAGCATTAATATTACAAGCCAATAAAGCAATAAAGGAATATCTTGGCATATATTTCTGACAAACAGTATATTTCACGGTGCTTCCTAAATAAACTTGAGGTAAAAGTAGATTTATGTAATATCTATATTCAATTGATTTTATGCCAGGAAGTCTATTTTGAAGTGTCAGTTTATGATAAATTCTTTCTGTTTGTTTTTTTTTAAATACAAGTTCCATTTTTATATTTTCTTGGTGAAGTGTGAAAACCCAGACTAATTATATAAGATTAGTTCTTAATAAGCATAAATGAAACTATGGGAATCCCATTATAAATTTTAAATAAAATGTGGTTAAACTAATTGATGAAACTGGATGTCAAGAAGGGAAGCAAGAGGACCATCTGGGGCTAGGAATGTTGTGCTTGCTTCTCTGAGTATTGGTTACACGGTGACTTCATTTTGTGAAATTACCACAAGCAGTGCATTTGTGATGGATGTAATTTTCTGTGCATATGTTGTACTCCCATAAGGAGAAAAATGATGTGGCTTCATTGATGCTGACTTGCCTGTAAAAGTTTCCATAAACTAGAAACCAGATGAGAAGATGTCAAGAAATATTGCACAACTAGTGTATTTTTCCAGCTGAAGAGTCCAGCCATCAGAGACATGTATGGAAGGCTCAGAGCACAGGAGACTGATTTAGAGATAACATCATTTTATGGGGAGAATGACATACCACACTAACAATTTATTGACAAAATAAATGTCTACTGGGCACCTACTATGTGTCAGACAATAATCTAGACCATTGAGATTCCATGAAGGAGCAGAGCAAGTGGAGCTCTTTGTCCTTGTGGGACCCATGTTTAGTAAGGAGAAAGAGTTAATTCACAACAAACAAGGAGTAAGTTACACGTTAAAAGGCGAGGGGTCTACTCAAGAAAATAGAGCAAGTAATGGAGATGAGGTGTATTGTGGGGAAGATTGCAATTTTAAAGAGGATGTTCAGGTGTCACTCTCAGAGGGTAGTACCTAAGCAAAATGTGAAGGAAAGGGTATCAGCCATGTGCATAGCTGGCTGGAGAAGAGTAGTTAGGCAGAGGGAATGGTAAGGCAGAAAAGGATCTGACAAGTTCAAGACAAAGAAGTTGGTGTTACTGGGATGAAATGAGTAAAGGAAAAAGGAACCGATGTGGAGGGCAAAATGTGAAGGCTGTTGCAAAGTTTGGATTTTATTTTTAATGAAATAGGGTGGCCTTTGAGGAATATGAGCAAGAGAGGGGCATGAGGTGACTCGCTGGGGCTATTTGAACCAAGACTGTGGGGGGAGAAATAGTAGTAACAAGCAGAGCAGGCAGGAGGCTATTGCCATAATCCAGGCGAGGAGGATGGAGGTTTGGGTCAGCCTTACAGTGGCAGAGATACCAAGGGTCTCTCAATAGACTGTCACTGAATTGACAGGCTGTTAAGTGTATGCGTTTAGCAGTCACGATAAACATGCAGATGGAAAAACTAGTTTCATATTAGAAATCATGGGGGTTATACTTCAAAACTAGATAACAAAGAAGACAGGAGAAAGTAGAACCAAGGTCTACGGCCTGGAGCACTCCAAGAAAGGCATCTACTAATACAGAAAGAAGGAACATCCAGTTCTGTCCTAGAGTATTTCAAGCCTGGGACAGGACTCGTTGCCTTAACACTGCTTACTACTGTAATAATTACCTCCCAGGAAAGTAAGTTCAAAGACATTTTTCCAGTTTCTATGCCAGGCCATGGTCATGAGTAATTGTGCTGTGCCTGGAACTTCCAAATTATTGCAAATTGTTGAGTGAATTGTGTCAGGGTTTGCGGACAGGCTGGACAATCTCTTGTTGCTTGAGGCACGATATTTGAAGTTGATCCAAGCTTCCTCCCCTTTGGAGCCCCAGGAACACGGGGGACTGATGCGTCAAAGTAGTTCCTATTTGGGACTGAGCTGGAAGCCAGCAGACTGCTCTGAGCAGTGCATCTCTTCCTTCTCCATGGTCTACTTTATACTGATCAGTTCTTGCTGGTCCTTAAATATCTACCCTTCAGAGTCTCTAACTCGCTGAATTTTTGGTCTGGATCATCTCCCCTTTGAATAGCTTGCTGTCTTTGTTTACTGAAGCCTCTTCCTGAAGTCCTCTCTTCAGAGAGGCCTCTTGCCACCTTG